AGATAAGTCCACCTACAGATAAGTCCGGACTTATCTGACAACTTATTTGACAAGACACGGTAATTATAATAGGCAGAAAGTCCGAAGACTATCAGATGAGTCCGGACTTATGTGTAGGCGGACTTATCCGAAGGTTTTTATTTGAGTCAAAAAGCGGAGTTATGTGATGGCGGACTTATATGTAGGCGGACTTATCTGAAGGGAGGACTTATCTGTGGGATTTTAGGGTAACAGTGTCAGATTCAAAGCTAAAGTTTAGCCCATACCGTACTTTCAAGTAACTACTAGGGACTCAGCGGCTAAACTGTAAGCCTTCTGATCAAAATGTGCCTTGAAATTTCACAAGATTAGCATGCGAATTATGCGTGAAAATCTATTGGCCAGAACAGGGAGATTATGTACGTATTTTCTGAGAAAAAACTCAATATTTTTAATCACTATAACAGTCACAGTCACTGATGCTAGTTTAAAAAGTCTATTTGTAACAGAGCGAACTGGAAGTTAGCGAGTCATTATTGAAATCAGCTATGGCTAAACCTATTTCAAATGCAGATTAGCTCAGCTGGGAAACGTTTCATTTGCTTAAAATCGATAGTCCAACTTCCATGTTTTACGTCACTAGCTACATTCACACTGAAACAAATTGAATTACCTCTTTCTGCAACATCGATACGTCCCCGCCTGCGTGTTGGAGTTTCTGTAAAGAACCGAGTTCGGCATCGGACAGAGTCAATTTTTCGCGATGTTCATTGCACCAGTAGTACACCGCATGGGTCATCATCACTTCAAGATTGGGAACAACCTAAAAATTTCATATGAGCGAAGTAGGGGAGGCTTTTTTGAAAAGTCGAGGTCAAGACATCTCTATAGCAATGCACGCCATAAATTTTTGTTGCACGACAGTGAATCGGCGCTTGAAAATAATAATTTTAAAACAAATGAGGTAACAGCTGATCACAAAAAACGTAGAGCCTCAATCTGATATGGTCGAAAAAAGTCAAAAAGTGGCATCATATTGTCGTCTTCGGAAAGAGCTACACTTTTTCTATGAGAGATCTGCTGCTACCAAATTTTTTAAAGAGCTATTCTAGACAATTTTGTGATCCAAATTGTCACTTCATGGTAATTTTTTTTTTGTATTCTGACAGATTTGCAATTTACCTGATTATTGAGCAGCTGTGAAAGAATCTCCTCATACAATACTGGAATCCCTCTCATGAGTAACTGCTTTACAAAGCCGATGTTGATGTCGTGAACGCTCAGGTCATCACCATTTTCGATAATTACGACTGAGACCTGGAATGTGTAAGAAACGATGAAGTCTTGAAAGTGCAAGTTTTGTTGCAGCAGTTTCAGTACCGAAAATCATAATAAAGATGACTATGACTGAACAAATCAGATCTATGCCTGGCATCAGAAGTTCTTCTTCGGATTCTCTACTCGCTACGCCAGCGCAAGAGATCAAAATCATAACTTAGCGGTAGGTCATCATCAGGTATCAATGCTATATAAGTTAGCGCAACCTCATGCTTTGAGAATGAACTGGAAGATCAAAATTGCTAGAAAAGAAACTTCTCACAAATATAAATCATCAATTTTCTTTGCTGAAAAAGATTGAAGCAGAGAATGCTTTTCAACATTTGACTTGCAGCTTTCCAGTACCATTACAAAGCAACCCA